CTTCTTCCGCCTGAAGACAGCTACTGATGTGCTGGAAACACGTCTCAAACGATGTCTCACGATTACGGACATCACTCTTCTTGGAGTTGGCCATATGATTGGCGCGGGTATTTATGTGCTTACCGGTACGCCTTTAAATTCAGCAAACCAATCCAAGGGGACTGCTCAGGACTTACGGTTATATCTTCACTCTGTGCATGTAGCGGTAATTCGGTCTCAAAATCGAAGTGCACTTTGCAGGTTCGGTGGTGCGCAATATCGCTGGACCGTCAATAGTAATCTCGTTCGCGATGGCCGGGCTCGCGTCGCTTCTTTCCGCTCTCTGCTACGCTGAATTCGGTGCAAGGTTGCTTATTATTCCGTAATCTGTAGTGTTCTCATACATTTCATATGCATTATCAACCAATACTTCCGTTCCTTTGGTGTTTGGTTTTTGCAGTCTAAATACCAAGGACAAGTGCTGTTGTTTGACCAAAAAGGGAAAAAGCCTGAAGAGGGACTACAAGTGGAAAGAGAGTGCTTAGGCTATCTTCATGGAGCACACTCAGAATTTTGCTTGATGTTAAAAAAGAATGAGAAGCTACAAATGGCTCTCTTAGAAAGAATGCTCAACGTACGAAGCAAGAATTCGATACTGAAGACCGTATTACAGCACTCCACTGTTTCAGTTTCGGTGTTTCATTTCAAGATACAGCCATGTAAGGAAATTTTATGATGGTGCCGGCTCTAATAGAGTAAAGAAACGGAATTTCAATACATTGGCCTTTCAATACCACTGCGCTGTTTTCGATTTACGTGGCACCAAAACGGTCACTGCCCAAAACGAACTGGCTCTGTAAAAATCGTTGGAGTAGAATACCCATGTGATATCTTCCAACGACCATAAAAAAACTTAGTCAAATAAGAAACCGTATAAAAAACCATATATTTTGTGATATTGAGGTGGCTTAGTTAAGCCGATTATGCAAGAATACTGAGAGCCTACGTATGAACGAAGCGATGTGTTGAATGATACTCACATAATATTAAAAGTGCACAGGGAGGGTTGCTTAACCGGAAAAATGTAGATGAAAGAGGCCAGCAATAAGGAAGAAGGGAGAAACTGCTAGATGCATCAATAGAGAGGTGGAGTGCAACGACGAGACAGCAGCTGATTAGAACACTAAAATTATCAGTTACTAAATAAGGTACTTACCAAATCGCCCGTTTAGAAATTACTCAACTATGCTCTCTTATACCATAGTTTGAAAGAGTATTTCTCTCCTTTTAAAATAAATTATGATTGTGCAATTGTGTTATCATGGAAGTAAAATTTGTACTGTAAGCATAACCTATGTTGCGATATAGAGACAGAAAAACATTTTACATAAACGTTGAACAGCAGTCAAGTGCATATGATTTTTGACTTCATCTCTCAAAGACCTCCTAATAGTAGTGAGGATATTCTCCAAACTCAGTGAGATTGTCAAAAATTTCATTACCATCGATTTTCCCACCACATGAGTGTCGATGCATTCATAAAAACATCAATCCATCATAAAAATGCAAAAATGACAATTCCCGTCCCCGTTCTTTCCACTATGCCATCTCCTTTTCCCTTCTCTTCCCGGAGAAACAGATTTTAGCTTCGCGACGAAACCAAGTCCTACATTCTGAGCGCATTGCTCTTCAACAAAGCAGGATATGAGTAACCTTGGAAAACAATAGGAAGTATGTTGTTCCATCAACTGCTGAAGCATTTCTGCTTCACAACTGTTTTCTGAATACAGATTCCCTAAAGCTGGCAGTGCGTACACGTATGCTTACATTGGAGTGGGCGAGCTCTGGGCGTTCATTATTGGATGGAATATCATCCTCGAGCACATGCTTGGTGCAGCTGGTTAGTAGATCATAATTTCAATCTCACACCACTTTTTCATAAATTTGCCAAACCTTCTTTTTCTGATTCTACAAACCATAGTATATTTGCAGCAGTGGCGCGCTCATGGTCAGGATATCTGACATCCATTTTTGGGAATTCCATCAGGAACTCAAGCTTCGTTAGCATCGGACATTTTGATGTTTGTATTTCCTACGATAAAATTTTTGCGTGTGCTATTTATTTCCGGATATGCTGGGATTTTTGTAAAGGCAAAAAAGAAAGGCTATTTTCAAGCACATGTGCATGGATGATTTGTGCAAAAAGGCATTTTGTGAGACCGTGTTCATGCGGGTTTGTGCTTGGATGCGCATTAATTTGCTTTTATACGTTTTTGCTTACAAGCAAATTGCAAAAACGCATATTGCTACGACGCTGTCTGTGTGAGTGTATGTATGTATGTGTGTGTGTGTGTGTGTGTGTGTGCCCGGGTATTTCAACTCGGAAATCAAGCGAACTCCGGCACCAAAACTTTCCCAGTGGGTTTTCATGTGCTATCCCAGAACCACGATACC